ATCTGAGACAACAAGGTGTAGAGCTGGATGAACACAGCAGGCCAAGCGGCATCATAGGAGCAGGAAGGCTGACGTTTTGGGCCTAGACGCGATGAAGGGTCTAGGCCTGAAACGTCAGCCTTCCTGCTGCTTGGCCTGCTGTGTTCATCCAGCTCTACACCTTGTTATCTCAGGATTTCATGTTGCAGCTTTATAAGACTTTGGTTAAGCCACGCTTGAATATTGTGTTCATTTCTGGCTGCCGCATCACAGGAAAGACATGGAGGCTTTAGAGAGGGTGCAGAAGAGATTTACCAGGATGCTGCCTGATTAGAGGGTATGAGCTATAAGGAGAGGCCAGAAAAACTGAGGTTGCTTTCTCTGGAGTGGCAGCAGAGACTGAGGGAAAAATTGATAGAAGTCTATAAAATTGGCATGTGTGAATAGGGTTGATGGTCAGAATCTTTTCCCCAGAGGTGAAGTGTCTAAAACTAGGGGGCATGCTTTAAAATAAGAGGAGGTAAGTTCAAAGGAGACGTGAGGGGCAGTTGTTTGACTGTGTGTGGAACGTGCTGCTAGAGGTGGTGGTGGAGGCAGATGTCATAAGGGCATTCAAGGGACTTTTACATAAGCACATGAATATGCAAGGAATGGAGGGATATGCGCTAAGGGCAGGCAGGAGGGATTAGTTTCATCTGGCGTCACGTTTGGCACAACATCGTGGGCTCAAGGGCCTGTTCTTGTGCTGTACAGTTCTATGTCATAAGTCACTGTGCTTAGAGCTGGTGCAGACATGTGCATCAAACGGTCATCTCCTGCACCATAACAATTCTGTGAAGTCAGCCTGTAAGGATATGAAAGAGCAGACCAGAGAAGCAGAAAAATTGCTGACTGTATTGTTTGTGCAGAATGTGGGTGGAAGTTTGTACTCTGATTGGAGATCCTAAAATTAACGAGAATCTAAACAAGGCTGTAAGCTCTGCTAGGCCTCTTTCTGAGGAAAGAATCTACAGGGTGGTCTTCATAATGAAAATTGCTCCTGGATTAGAAACTACCCAGACTGGGAAAGGAAACAGGCTTTTGGGAGTAGAGAATATCTTTGGAGAGAGAATAAAATGGTCACATTAAAGACAAAGTAGATGCTATTGAAATGTCAGAAAATGTGCACTTGAAGCTGCCTCCAGTTACAAATTTGTTAATTTATTGTATGTTTTCTGGTTCAAAACATGGAAATGCTGCCAAGATTCCGGTCACTTGTCTTTCTGAGGAGGCTATGATTACCTGGGATAATTCTCTAATTCTGACCTGTGTCAAATTCAGCAGTGGAGTATTTGAAATACACTGTGTAAAAACCAATTTTGAATGACACCTTTTTTATAATTCTAAGCAATTAAGGTAAACTTCCCAGTTGGAGTATTATTTTAAGCTGGTTTGTCTTACCACAGTTTAATCTTTTGTTAGTTAGAGCTCCATCCAAAAGCAGTTGTTCCATATTTTTGTTTACTTGGAGGTGCAACATCAAACTAACTGACAAAACACGTTTGCTTCGTTATAGTTTGAAACCAGCATAAATATTGAGTTTATGGCAGGAAAAAAGTAGCAATTAATGTTAAATAATGGAACCTTTCCAAAAATAGTACTGAAACAGGATTAAAGCAGAGTTGCTACAGAGTTCCAAGTTGTTATGGAAAATTCCTTTGCTGAGGATGCTATTGCTGGTACAACCACCTTTTGCAATACCATACTCAACCATGAAATATAAGTGGGAGTAATCAATACTTTTTACAATCTTTGATCACGGCCTGTTTTTTGCTGGTAGTGATGATGCACATCAACCCTCCCTCAACCAATACTGATAAACGACTCCCACTGCAAGGAAGTCAGAACAAGGGGGTGTAACCTTAAAATTGTCTCCTCCCCCTCCTCCCCACCCCGACACTGCTACCAAGCCCCTTAATTCAGTTAACCCTGATCTGAAATGTTAAATGTTTTTCTTAGTAACAAAATACAGATTTAACAAACAAACATTTTTAATCACTGTCAAAACATAATGTAAATAATGTTTCAGAAATAGTAGGAACTGCAGATGCTGGAGAATCTGAGATAACCAGGTGTAGAGCTGGATGAACACAGCAGGCCAAGCAGCATCAGAGGTGCAGGAATGTACTACTTTGAATGGGCATGATATGCTGATATCTGAGCTTTCATGTTTGCGCCTTCAACATTTCATTAAGTTGAAATGGTAATTGCTAAAAACTTGTAAATACCGTATCATCCAAGTGAGTTAAATCTGTATTGTTGGCTAGAATTTCCTTTGGTTTCTTTATTTAGTGAACATCTTTTGTTACACCCTGAATGTAATATTTCTTTTGCACTGTCCTAACTTTTTTTCTTGGTCTTCAGCATTCTTAACTGCACAACTGTAGCTGCTCCTCAATGTGTTTAATCATAGCAACAAGAATTATTTTGGTTCTCACTTTAGATTTAACTGAGTTCCTTTAATATTTCTACAGTCCTCTAATTGATTGTGCTCTGTTTTTCAGAAGGACATGAAAATGAAAACTGCTTTGTTTACCGAAGATATTTTGAATTTTACGTCCTAGAGTCGAAGCTTACAGAGTTTCATGGTAAAGTGATGAAGAAAATATACTTTATCCAGTGAATCAGTTTGCATCACAAATTTAAAACAGCAGTATTTACTTTTGATTACAATCTAATTTGTGACTGTGAAACTTGTTTCACATTTACATCCATTTTTTGAGATGGTGAGATATGTATTTTGTTAAATATATACGTGATTCATCTAGTCATGAATTTACAGTCAAGTAGTTATAACTTGTTTTGTAGGACAATAAATAAACCACTTGAGTATCTTGATGTGAGAAACTTTCAAAAATGAAATGTAAAATGCAAATCTGGGAAGCATTATTAACCACCATTAGTTAAACTATATGTGGAACTTCTTGTATCAAAGACATGGTCACTCATGTCCATTAGCTCCTTGCACTGATTGCCCCTTTGGTTTCAAGTAGGTCCCACTCTTTCCCTGGTAATCCTGTTACTCTTAATATGCTGATAAAAAGCGTGGAGGTTTTCCTTGATCCCAAATGCTGAAAATATTTTGAGACCACTGTTTGCCCTCGACTTCCTTTTTTAAACAGCCTCCTACTTTTGAAGAGCCTCTCCTGTTTTTAATGCGTTGTACCTGACATATGCTTTCTTCCTTTTCTTTATCAGACTCTATATCCCTTGAAATCCTGGATTCCCTGGGCTTGTTGCCCTTGCCCTTCACTCTGAGAGGTACACACTGACCCTGAATTCCTTCTGTACTACTTTTTAAGAGACTCCACCTTTCCAAATACTGACCTACCTGCAAGTAACTGCTCCCAGTCTGTTTTTGCAGATACTGTCTAATGAATTGAAATTCACCTTTTCTCAAGTTAGACACTTAACTGCGGTGCTATCCTTGTCCTTATCCCTTTCCATAATGATTCTGAAAAGATTGGGGTCACTATCCCCATAATGCTCATCCAGTGAAACTTTAACCACTTGCCTAGCTTCTTTCCCTAGCATTAGCTGTAGCACTGCTCTAGTAAGACTATCTATACATTGGCACAAAAAGCTTTCCTAGATGCATGTTAAAAGTTCCACCCTGTCTAATCCTTTCACACTGAAGAAATCCTAGTGTTAGCAAAGTTGAAGTCCCCTACAACTGTAACCCTATTTCTCTCGTACCTTTCTGTGATTTGCCTACATATCTGCTCCTATGCCTCCCTGTTACAGTTGGGAGGCCTTTAGTATAACCACAGCAAGGTAGTCACCCTTTTGTTTTCATTTTTAAGCCCTGTTCAGGTGGCCTCTTTGAAGACTCTTCTAGGACACCTCTCTTCATTACAATGCAATGCCCCCACCTCAGCAGCATTGAAGCACAGCAAGTCAGGATGGTGTGTGGCTTGGAGGGAACTTGCAGATGACGGTATCTGCTGCCTTTTCCCTTCTAGGTGGTAGTAGTCATGGGTTTGGATGTGCTATCTAAAGAACCTTGTAATGTTACTGCAGTAAATCTGTAGATAATATACACTCCTATTGTATGTAGATGACAGTGGAAGTGAATATGAAGATTCGGCTGCCAGTCAAGCTGGCTGCTTTGTTCTGGGTGGTGGCAAACTTATTGTTAAAGTTGTATTTATCCAGACAAATGGCTGACTTGAGTCCTGTAGATGGTGAACCGGGTTTAGAATTTGGAATCGTGTAACTTGCTGCAGAGTTGATCTGCAGGATTACAATTAGAAACAGAACCTGTATAATGAAGCAGACCGAATGAACTGAATGTTTGTTTTTGTTTTTTTTTCTTGTCTTTATTCCTTATTAATTAGCTTGATTCAGAAATAGAAACTGCCAGAATGAACTATCAAATCACTATAGGGTGCAAGTAGAGAGTACCTAGGTTTCTGTGTTTTGCTAGTGGATTAGCTCAACATCTAGAAAACCAAAAGAATGCATATCTATTAGCAATTCATTGATTTGTGCTTTTAGGATCTTTCCCAGACGCACAACTTCCTTCAAAGCGGCTCATTGGATCCAAGAACTTTGACTTCCTAAATTCTAAACGAGAAGAGTTTCAGGAATATCTGCAGGTACATAAAATTTAGCTTGTCGATGCATTTTAATTTGAGTGCAGTAGTAGGGATGACTTACTGCAGTCTTAAGAGGAAATAGTTCTTCACTTGATGGTTAGTGAACCTGCGGAATTCTCTACCACAAAATCCCGTGGAAGCGAAGTCACTGAATATATTCAAGGAAGAGAAATTCCAAGATTTTAAAAGGGTATGGGGCTAAAGTGGTAATATGAAATTAAGATAGAGGATCAGCCATGTTCTCATGAAGTGGCAGAGCAGGCTGGAAGGGCTGAATGGCGTACTCCTATTCCTAGTTTCTACGTTTCTACCATGCTTTGAGTATACTGAGCATGACTTTTAACTGCTGTGATGTAAACTGAAATTTACTTGTATAAATATTAATGTTATTTGTTGAGTTTGCATTTTTGGTTTTTTGTGTTGGTAACCAGGTTTTCTATACTGAAGTTGTTAATTAACTTATAATAGTTAATATTTAATAGACAGAGGGAAGTTGAGGAGCAAATGTGTAGAGAAATCTTAGATATATGAAAGAATAGGGTTGTAATAGGAGGGGATTTTGATTTCCAAACATTAACACTATGGCAGTGCCAGTCAAAGAAATGGATAGTGAGGAATTTGTTAAATGTGTTCAAGAAAATTTTCCTTTATATAAATGTACCTACTAGAAAAAGAGCAAAACCTGACCACCTCTGAGGAAATAAGGCAGGGCAAGTGACTGGGGTTTTAGTTGGGGAGCATTTTGGGACTAGTGATCATAATCCTATTAGTTTTAAAAAGTTATGGAAAAGGATAGACCTGATCTAAAAGTTAAAGTTCTTAATTAGAGTGAGGCACATTTTAATGGTTTGAGAAAAGAACTTTCTAAAGTTGATAGAAGGAGACTGTTCGCAGGTAGAGGGATGACTGTCAAGTGGGAGGCTTTCAATGGTGTGATAATGAGAGCTCAGAGATATTATGTTCCTGTTAGAACGAGGGATTAGGCTGGTAAGAGTAGGGAACAATGAGGTTCTAGTTAAGAATAAGAAAGATCATCTATTAGATAGCGACAACTGAGATCGAATGAATCTCTTGAAGAATATAAAGAGTACAGGCATTCTTAAGAGGAAATCTGGAGAACGAAGAAGGAATAGGAGATGACCATATCTGCCAAGGCTAAGGATAATCCAAAGAGATTCTGCAAGTACATTTAAGAGCGAATGATCAACTAGAGAGAGAATAGCACCCCTTAAAGATTGATGAGGTTGTCTGTGTTGGACCTCGGGCGATGGGAGACATAGTAAATGAATATTGCTCTTTAGTTTTTACTTTGGAAAAGGAGATGGAAGCTAGAGAACTCAGAAATAAATATTTATGTTTTGAAAACAGTTCAGATTACAGAAGAGAAAGTGCTGGAAGTCTCCGAAAACACAAAGGTGGTTAAATGTCCAGGACCTGATCAAATGTATCCCAGGACATTGTGCACAGTTAGGGAAGAAATTGTAGGACTCCTAATCGAAATACTTGTAACATCTATAACTTCGTGTGAGGTGCCAGAGAACTGAAGAGTGGTTAATGTTGTGCCTTCATTTTAATAAAGGCTGTAAGGAGAAGCCTGGGAACTATAGACCTGTAAGCATGGCATCGGTGGTGGGTAAGTTATTGGATGTGATTCTGAAAGATAGGATTCACGTGCATTTGGAGACGCAAGGGGTGATCAGAGATAGCATGGTTTTGTGCGAGGGAAATCGTATGTCTCAAACTTGATTGAATTTTTTAAGGAAGTAGCCAAAAAGATTGAGGGTGTAGTGGTAGACGTTGTTCACATGGACTTTGTTACAGCCTTTGACAAGGTTCGGCACGATAGCTTATTTAGTAAAGCTAAATCATGTGATTGAGAGAGCTTGCCAATTGGATACAAAGCTGGCTTGATGGTTGGAGACAGGCTAGTGGTGGAGGCCTGTGACCAGCGATATTCCACAGGGATTGGTAATGATCCACATTTGTTTGTCATTTATATGAACGATTCGGGTAAGAATATAGGAGACATGGTTAGTAAGTTTGCGGATGACGCCAAACTTGGTGGTATGATGGACAGTGAAGGAGGTTATCTAAGATTACGAAAAGATCTTGTTCATTTTGGTCAACGGGCTGAGGAGTGGCAAATGGAGTTTAATTTGGATAAATGCGAGGTATTGTATGTTGGTAAAACGAACAAGGGCAGGACTTGTACAATTAATGGTAGGGCCCTGTGTAGTGCTATGGAACAGAGACCTAGGGGTGCAGGTACATAATTCTTCAAAATTTGCATTGGACAGGGTGTTAGGGAGGCATTTTAGCATGCTTGTCTTCATTGCTTAGACCATTGAGTGTAGGAGTTGGGACATCATTGTAAGGTTGTACAGGATGGTGAGGCCTCTTCTGGAGTACTGTGTGCAATTCTGATTGCCCTGCTGTAGAAATTATTAAATTAGAGAGGTTTCGGAAAAGATTTACCAGAATGTTGTTAGATTGGAGGGTTTGAGTTTTTAAAAAATAGGCTGGATAGACAGGGACTTTCTTCACTGCAGCGTAGGAAGTTGAAGGGGGACCTTTTATAGAGGTTTATAAAATCATGAGGGGCATTGATAAAGTGAATAGCAGGGGCCTTTTCCCTAAGGGGTGGGGGGAGTTCAAAACTAGGCATATTTTTAAGGTGAGAGGAAAAAGATTTTAAAAAGTACATGAAGGGCAACCTTTTTTACATGGAGTGGTTCGTGGGTGGAATGAACTGCCAGAGGAAGTGATGGATGCAGTTACAACATTTAAAAGACATTTGGAAAAGTACATGACTAGGAAAGGTTTTGAGGGTTATGGGCCTAATGCAGGCAAAGCGGGACTACTTTAGTTTAGTTTGGGAACATGGTCGGCATGGACTAGTTTGACCAAAGGGTTTGTTTGTTTCCTCGCTACTACTCTGACTCCACTTTGTGAGTATTTCCATAACCTTGGTGACTTGCATCAGAGATGATTTCTGAAGCCTGGCTGTGGAGTGAATGGTTGTGCATTGCTAGTCAACTTTTGTTTATTTAGATTATTTGACAACTGTGCTTGTTAAATAATTTGTCCTCAAAGGTTTGTTACTGTATTCTGGATTTTCTTTTAACTTGAGGGTAACACCCGTAGCTGAGACAGATTTTTAGCTTAACTTTTTACTTTGAGTGGGACAGTCTTGTTAAGTCCTTGGAACGGAATGGCTGTTGAGGACAATGCTTCTGAGACTAGAATGATAGACAAAGTGAATTAGATTGGATTGAAAGCTGAGTACCGTTAAGCTCGTGTGTGTTGTCTTCAGGAAGGAACGATCACAGTTCCAGTCCAGAAGTTGAAGTCTCAAGTGACTTGAACTTGCAGGCACTGAGGTGTGACTATTATGAGTGGTGTTTTGGAACTGTACCAGGGAATCATTTTAGGTACTATATAAAAGTTATTCTGTTGCTTTTCAATTTATGAAAAAAGTCTTGGGATAAATGGGTTATACTTTTTTTTATACTTTTACTGTGAATTTTAATTGTCTCAACCCAGCTGATGTTATTACTAGATGAGTCAAATCCCAGCCTGCACTTATATAGGTCTTTCTATTACTGCAATTGGTCTTCCATTTAATTTGCAACAACTAGCTTTAGTGTGCCTGTTTTATTACTTGTTATTTTCTTTATATCATGTTTACGTTCTCCCCTTTTATTTTTACTATTTTGGCTGTTTACCCTAAAAACTATACTTCTAAATTCACATGTTGAAACAAATCTCTCATTGGTAACAGCTCAGGAAATGATTCTTATCCCTTTTTCTTTTGTTCCTTTATTCTAAGATTTTCTTTCTCCATGTCATGTTACCTGAGACCCCTCTCTTTGAAATTCAAACTTTTTGACCTCTGTTTCTTCTCTTGTAATTAACAATTTCATTTTTCATTTTTAACTGAATCTCAGCTACTTCTATCATTAAACATTTCAATTTCACCTCAAAATGATGGGTAACCTTTTAAACACCTCACTGTTTTTATTTCAACATTCAATGTATTTGTTAACTTTCTTCAACGTTATTGAAAGATTTGAAACAATCCACTTGTGTTTCTACTCCCAGAAAAGTCAAAGCATTTTGAAAGTCAAGTTTGTGTAATATAGTCAACAACAGTTCTCTTGTATGTCCATGCTGCCACATATTTATTTAAAGATTCCTCCTAAATTTAAATAAGTCCTATCCTGCCAAGAGCAGGACTTCACTATGATCCCAACTAATGGTAATATTTAACGTGACAGATTCTAGCGTTTAACCTGACTTGGTAAATCATAAGTTTAACTTTTGCAACTGCGTACTGTGGTAGTTATCACTGAAAGTATTCGCAGTGGGCTAAGGTGCTTTCAGTACAAGTTTTATTACGTAAAAATCAAATGAAGCTATGTAAAAGTGAATTTGAAGAGATTGAGACATAAACAGCAAAACACTCTAGCCTGTATTTTGTCGATCAATCCCTTGTGCAAAATGCATTGCCTCACACTTTTCTCTATTAAGTTCCATCTAGCAGACTGTCTTTGTAAGTTCTTGACTTGCAGTACTGTACCTCAACTCACCAATTTTCACAGGGGTGCTCCATCCCAATCATAAAACGGTAGGTGTCCTTGTTGTAAGCCCTGCATGTAGAATTAGAAGGCTAGGTAAGTTGCAGGTCAACACAAATCAAACTTGCTGTAATGCAAATTGGATCCTTCAGAAAGTTCTTAGAGTACAGGACATTGGTTAGGCCACTTCTGGAATACTGTGTGCAATTCTGGTCACCCTGCTATAGCAAAGATTTTGTGAAACTTGGAAGGGTTCAGAAAGATTTACAAGGATGTTGCTGTGGTTGGTGGGCTTAAGCTATAAGGAGAGGCTGAACAGGCTGGAGTTATTTTTCCTGGAACGTCTGAGACTGAGGGGTGACGTTATTGAGGTTTATAAAATCATGAGGGGCATGGATGGGGTGAGTAGCCATCCCCTACTTTCAAGCCCTACCCATACACAGGATCTGTTCAGATGAGGAGGAACACAACGGACAACTGAAAGTGCTGAAGGGCGCTCTCGTAAGAGCGGGATACGATGCTCAACTCATCAATTGCCAGTTCTGACGTGCCACAGTGAAAAACCTCAGAAGACAGACTTGGGATATACCTGATGGGGTACCCTTTGTCGTCCAGTACTTCCTAGCAGCGGAGAAACTCCACCACGTTCTTCTCAGCCTTCAACACATCGTCGATGACAATGAGCACCTCGCCAAGAACTCCCTCCGTCTCCACTTCTCTCCTTCAAACAACCATCAAACTTTAAACAGACCATTGTTCGCAGCAAACTACCCAGCCTTCAGAACAACATCAACCACACCATTCAACCCTGTAATGGCAATCTCTGCAAGACATGTCAGATCATTGACATGGATACCATCACACGTGAGAACACCACCCACCACATGCATGGCAGATACTAATGTGAGTCAGCCAATGTTGTCTATCTCATACACTGCAGGCAAGGATGCCCTGAGGCATGGTATTTTGGCAACCATCCAGATGTTATGACAATGGGCGAATGGGCACTGCACAACAGTCACCAGATAGAGATACTCCCTCCCAGTGGGGGAACACTTCAGCGGTCAAGGACATTCGGCCTCGAATCGCTATGGCGGACTTCAGGATACAGAACAAAGCAGAGTTGCCGAGCAAAGGCTGATAGACAAGTTTGGTACCCATGAGGCCGGCCTCAACCGGGATCTTGGGTTCGTGTCACACTATAGGTGACCCCACCACAGTGTATACACTCAAACGCGTGTGCATAAACACACACTCTCGTACATACTCTCAGTCACACTAACCCTGTCTCGTACATACTCTCAGTCACACTAACCCTGTCTCGTACACCTGTGTGGCTCTCCACACGCTCTCCACACGCTCTCCACACGCTCTCCACACGCT